CTGCTCAATGGAATTCAATGAGAGGTTGTTTTTTTGTTCCATTAGGAAGAAGCCCCCATTGATTATAAAAGCGAGTTGCACTATTCTTAATTTGTTGATGAAGGGACATTTATGGAATTGGTTTGAAATGGGAAAATCCTTAAAATCCACTTAATAGCATCGATTTTATCCAATGGGAGCCCACTTTAACATCATTGGCACCATTGGTTTAAAATTGGAGATTCCTAAAATTCAAAATCTATCAATTAAGAGAGTATTTGGGGTTTTCTGTTAAAATAAAAATGTGTCCCCTACATCAACTTAAATGTATTTCCAATGGGAGATTAGAAAAAAGCTTTTTTTTTTTTTTTTAAACCAATGGGAGATTAGTTTAGCTCGATTGATTTTCGATGGGAGAACCATGTGTCCCGCTCCCCACTCTGCTTATTAACTCCTGGAAACATCGTCTGGATTGGAAGTCAGAGTCGTCGTAAGATTTAAACAAATCCTCCGATGGATGATTCTCATTATTCAAACTGATTTAACTCCTAAATGATTGGAAAAAGGGATGGATTTGAACATGGACAGGATGGGAAACGACCAGATTAAAGCTCTACTTCGGATTGTTTTTGAATCTGGTTTCTATTCAAATATTTTCCAGAGCCAGAACAGACGCAAAAAAGTGAACACACAAAGTTTTTGTATCACTCTTCTTATCACTATCAATGTAACTTACATAGAAAGTGATCTAAATTAGGATTTGTGTTTACAATTTAGGGTTAAAACCAAAACTAGTCGATTTAAAATGACACTTCTGAACAACAGGATAGTGTTACAGAGTCGGTGGTCATTTCCCAGCCTGCACACGGACGTATTAAAACATGAAGTGTGTTCAAATGTGTGTGTGTTTAAGCAGTAAAAGTATGACATCGAGCTCTTCTCTCTCTTTAACGCTGTACAAGCTAATAAACATCCTGCCACAATAAATATAACTCATCGTAAAAAATAAATTAAAAGAAAATAATCAATAAATATCTCATCGCTGGAGAACGTTAAAAACTCTGAGCCGTGTGTGTGTGTGTGTGTGAGTGTGGACAGATGGATGGACACTGCGTCTAAAACGAGGTATCAATCCAATTGTTTTGTTTGCTCTTCCAGGAATTACCCCCGGCCCTCCATCCGGCCTTCAGTCTCAGTTACCTCCTCCCAGCTGTGTGTGTGTGTGTTCAAAGGATGGATATGATTTTAAAATGTATGTATGTGTAGAGACAACACTCACTCACTCAAAAACACACACACACACACACACACACACACACACACACACACACACACACACACACACACACACACACACACACACACACACACACACACACACACACACACACACACACACACACACACACACACACACACACACACACACACACACACACACACACACACACACACACACACACACACACACACACACACACACACACACACACACACACACACACACACACACACACACACACACACACACCACACACACACACACACACAGTGGAAAAGCATCCAAACATCGATTTGTTCCGGACGAATTTAAAGTGTATTACGGAGGTTTCCGTTCTCTGGTATCAGGATGGAAATCAGAGCGAACCGAAAACATTTCAGTTTCTCAGATTTCACAACATTTGTTACAGAGATACAGTTTAAACGGCCACTGATTTAAAGATATACTGTAAAAGAAATATGGATTGGAGCTGTGTATAGTTGAAAAGATTAAGCTACTAGTGCGGATATGACACCTGAGTACAATTACTTTTGAAGATACCTTAATTTGAGAAAGGGTTACACAATAAAACAATCCTAAATGTTGTTTTAACTCAATTCACTACAGGAAATCTTAATCAATCAGGAAGTATCTGATCAAAAACAAGTAAGTGGATGTTGATTTTTCGATGTTGTCTTTACCAAATGATGTCTATGATAAAAAGTCAAATGTTTATGCTCTTATAACTTGGCAGTTTTCTCAGAATCTTGGTGGTAGCAAAAACATATTAGGGGTTGAAAATGCGGATCAATAGCAGCAGCTTTCTGAGAATATCTTCTGGCCACTGCTGCTGTTTAAGAAGTGAATCCTGCACCCTCTTTCATTCATCAGGACTTGTCTCTGAGTTAATCAAATCAGACAATCATCCAAAACATGTTAGGATGTAATGGATGGAAAGCTTCACAACAGAACCGTTTATTTGAGCTTTTTTGTGGTTGTGATGTTTGGTGAGAAATCCGCCTTGACTTTGTCACGTTGTTTTGCTTCTTTGAACCTGTCTGATATGTTTTGAAGTCATTACAAACACATTCTTTAAAGGATATTCTGAGCTGATCTGATGCACGCCTGAGTTTGCTTTCTTTCCTCCAGGACGAGTAGATATTTCTTTCTGCAGATCTCTCCTTCCTCCCTCTCTGCATTGGGAGTGTTTCCTCTCCTCCCTCCTCTCCGAGACCTTTTCCTTTCTCGGCCGGTTTTGATGGATGACGTTGCCTCCGTCTTTCTCCTCCCTGATCAGTATTCTCCCTCTCTCCTGCTCTCAGTATTCAAACGGCATCTCCTCCTTCCTCTCACTTAAGCATGCAAAAAGAGAACCTGACCTCCTCTTTTCATCCTGATGCTCCCGTGTTATACCCTAATATTTATTTCTCCTCTCTGCAATTGATCAGGTTTAGCTCCTCTGCTTCACCTTTCGGAACTTCTTCTTCCTCTCCTCTCTGCATTGAAGTAGTAATTCTTTCTTTTCCACGCTCCTCTTCCTCACTTCTCAGCATGCAGCAGGCGTTTCCTAGGCATCCTCCCTTTTCCTTTACATTTTCCTCTTGGGATTTTCTCTCGTTTCTCCTCCTCCACACCCTCCTGCATGCTGACAGACACTCCTCTCCTCCTCCACACCCTCCTGTATGCTAACAGACACTCCTCTCCTCCTCCACACCCTCCTGTATGCTAACAGACACTCCTCTCCTCCTCTAAACTCACATCTCATCCTATACAGAAAAAAAAAAGGTAATATTTTATCAAAATGGCGCCGAGAACATAATCAAAAAACGTGTTTGGTGACTTTGGGTTTAAAGGGCGATCTGAGATTTTTTATTTAAAACAATTTTTAAAAAGGACACCGATGATCCGATCTGAGATTTGGAAAAGCTTTGAAGATACCGATCGTCCGATTTAAACGGTGCGACTGTAAAGAAAAAAGATTTTTAATTGAGCTGCAGATACCATCAGTGATTTAACGGTTGAGTTTCCACTGCAGCAGCAGGATAACACACACACACACACACACACACCACACACACACACACACACACACACACACACACACACACACACACACACACACACACACACACACACACACACACACACACACACACACACACACACACACACACACACACACACACACACACACACACACACACACACACACACACACACACACACACACACACTGGGTGAACAGTGGTATTGGTATGGTAGTGGCTTCCCTCCCTGTTCTATAATTAATCATCTTAAAAGGCAGTCTTATTTTTCAGGACCCTTCCTCCATAATCCTTCTCTTCTTCTTCATTCGGGTCGTTTTGGCCCCAAAATGTTCAAACAACAGTGAAACAACAGCAAGAAAATGAAAAAAAAAGGTGCTTTGTAGCTTTATGGCGTCGCAGAGAGCCAAAAGACAGACGCTGTGGTGGAACATTTTCACACATCAACCAACGAGTCTGATGGTGCTTTTAACGCCTTCACTAGAGATGGTTCACATTTCTTCAGAGGAGGTCATGTGGTGAGAAACATTTGAGTAATTCATGTGGAAATATTCATGGATTGGCAAACCATGCACAAAGATTGGTCAATTATTCAATGATTTATGTTTGCACTTCCCACAGATTCCCATTTTTGAACCAAACGTTTGGATTTTTCTGAAATCAAATCAAAGAGAAGGCTTTGTAATTTCAAGAAATGTACTGGTAGCCCGCCTCGTTGCACATGACATATTGCCTTGACATTTGAATCCTATGCTGCATAATGTTACGTGAATAAAATGTATTTAAAGAAACCTTTTGGGTGACTCAAACTGCCCTGTCGAGCAGAAACTCGTTTTTGTGAGTTCTCAAAAAGGTAAATTATCATTGTTAAACTTTACTTTTGACAAATGTTGACCCCAAAATAAAACCCTGAACAATAAATATAAGTTGTGTGAAGCGAAAATGTTCTACCACAGAAACACAAGGTTGAAGGGGGGTAAGGGGTGCAGCGTTGCCAGGTTTGAAAGTACTCTATCCAACCATCCTTCAGTCAGAGAATAAGAGCGTTTTACACTGTAGTCAGTTTTTTGCGTTACGTATAATCCAACCTCCGTATGTGTATTTGTTCACGAGCATCAAGATGGTTGGACTGAGGTACAATTCCCCCATCTGCAGAAAACATTTGCAAGTTTTAAGGTAAACATTTGTAGGATTGGCAGACAGTGTGAAAGCGCCCTCATTCGCCTCTAGGATGTACAAGAAATCATCAAAACAAAGACTCCATTATAGGCGACACATGCAACGTCAAACCCCACCAAAACCTCCAAACTAACCCTCCATCCAACACTGCTCTGTTCGGTTCAAACAAACATCGCATTTGGTCAAAGAAAGTACCAAAAAGTCCGGTTTGTTCGTCCAACGTTGACATTCAGAGCAGATATTCAGTTCCTTCAAGTTCAGTCCGGTAACAATCCAGTTTGATTCTGTTCAGTCCGGTTTGAAGGCATAAAGATGGACTTAGGTTGATCCATTGTTCTGTCTCCTGGCTCTCTCTCTTTCTCCAGACTCTGATGTAGCATAATGTTCAGCTTTATACAAGTTCAGCTCCTTAAAATCCATACTGTCAAATCCACAAAGTTCTTATTACATGTTAACATTTCAATATTTCTTTTTTTTCCTTTCTTTTTGTATTCTTTTTTAACTTTTATACATCATTATTATTATTATCATCTTTCTTTTTTTTTTGTTTGTTTACAATTATGGCCACAAGTCTTAAAAGTTCTTGAGTTACGGTCCGGGTTAAAACTCCATTCCAGGTTGTTTTTGATCCGGGTTTGGTCCAAGTCCGGTCCAGTTCTGACGTGATCCGGTCCGGTCTTTACATGGCACTGGGCTTGTAGCTCTGCACAGTATTTCCCCCTGGGCACGGTTAGCATGGCGCTGTAAAGCATGGCTGTATGTGGGTGTATGTGCAAGGTCCGACAATAAAGCGTTCTGCACCAACCAGCGTCAAAGTGTACCGACTGGTGCTGAATCCAGAACCCAAATATCCAGGTTGTTCTGGTCCTGAAAAAATGTCGGTCAGTCAGAAGTTCTTCTGTTTTAGCGAAGAATTAGCGAGTCAACCTGCTTATTTACAGACCTTGCCTGTGTGCCTGTGCTGGAATGTATTCAAAACGTAATTCTGGATTAATTTCTTATATATTCACTTTTCATGATTCTGGCGAATTCCACAGTCTTGATTGGTCGGGCAGTACATTACTAAAGAGTCTTCCTGGCCAATAGGATGACCAGAGGCCAGCATCACTGACCAATGACGGAGAGGGGTTGGAAGGGGGAAGAGAAATTAAAAAGTGGGGTGAAAGAGGGAACTAGTCAGAATGGAGGGAGAAGGGAAGATAGAGAAGAAGACAAAACGAAGGAAAGGGTAAAGTACTAAGAGTTGAGGATGAAGGAAAGGAAAAGGAAAGGGACGGGATTATGGACACAGGTACTGGCGGTCAGTAGGCATTGGGCTCAGTGTGCTGTGGTAAAGAGTGATTGTCCAGAGAAAACATTGAGTGGTTATACAGCAACTTCGAAACTCCTAGATCCTGGCGAGGCTTGGCCGAACAGTCCAAGGTCAAGTCAAAGTGTCCCGGCTCATTGGTTCCTTATCTCCAAAGATGAATTCCTGTTATTTTGCACCGTGAATTCACATCTTTGGAGACTACGCAGTTTTTCCAAGGTAAACTCAAGTTATCAGTTATAGGGACATCCGTTTATTTGCTTCCTTCCCCTTCGTTAAAGCTTGAAACAACAAGTTTGACTTTGACGATTCCTTCCTTGAAGGTTGACCTGAACTTCTTAAAGTGAATCAGATTCCTACCATTCAAGGCTAAGGTTCACGACATCAGTAACGAGGCTTCGGACTTCTGCGGTGAGCCTTGACTTGACCTTTTGACATTTAGCCCAGATTCGTCTGGACTACGATGAGGCTTTTGCGATTTTACCATGACCCCTTGACCATCAGCCTAGTTTCCTGATCCTTTGGACCAGAACAAGCTTTGAAGGTGAAGTCCAGAAACTTGACTAGACCTATTGCTTTTCAACTTAGCATCTAGAATTTTCCCAACCAGGCTGGGAATCCTGATGTCAGGTCGATAAGTCCTCATGTCACATCCGTTGTTTGGTGAAACCTAACTTAGTCTTTAGCTTAGTTTCCATGTCTTTCCACAGCCAGGCCCCTTTTGCTTTGATCCCTGCTTACAACCTGCAGTGAATTTAAATCGAAAATCCAAACCGACAGATGCATCTTGCATCATTTTTTACCCAAAATGACTCCATTCCATGTTGAAGTCACGTTGTAAATGTATCCAAATCGGTTTGGAAACTGATTTTTCAACCCCAAAACCCACCAAACGGAGATAGTTGGGGTCCCAGCCATCCAGGTAATCAGTCTTCAAATCAATCAATCAATCAATCAATCAATCGAGAAATAAATTGCTGATGGATTGATTGCTCAAGGGCCGAAGCTGTGGCTGTCAGTTCGGTCCGACACTGAGCAGTTCAGCTGACTGTTTAGACAGTTCAGAAAAACAAAATGTCTTCACTTCTCCCTCCTCCATTCTTCTTCCCCACCCCCCAATCCTTCCATCAGTCCTTCAGTCCATTCTCTCCTCTCAGCTGCTCCCAGACATCAGGTTGATGGCTTGCTCCAGTTTGTGCCTCAGTTTGTGTTTGCGACAGTACCCGTCCCGATCCAACGCTGTCAGGATCTGCAGAGACAGAGAAAAGACAAAACAGATTCAACAAGGACCTATAATTATTATTATTAAGGACTTAACTAAATATGTCTCTAACATCACTGATTAAATCTGGTTCATTTGAATAAAAGACAACTATTGACGCTAGGATTTCTTCAAGATTCTAGACCATTTAAGTTGGTCTGAAGTGTTTTAACTCCACAATCTAGTATCAAATCACTTTGTAATTCGACCAGGGTGTTACCAAGAAACGTACCAGGTACTATTCAGAACATTTGCAAATAAAAACCAAAAAACGAGTAGAGCCATGTCGTCTGATTCAGTTTAAATGCAGCATTACCATCTAACATGTACTCATGACGCTGATGCCTAACATTGTTAATGACATAAAGAAGTAAAAGCAACACCCCCTCTCACCTCTTCCTTGTACTTGTTGATGTAGAAGTAGAGCTCACTGAGTGCGCTCAGTGTGTTGAACTCGGTGCCGTGCAGACGGGACTGCTCCACCAGGTAGGCGTCCATGTCCTGATCACTGATGCTGGGCATCTTCGCAATATCCCTGTAGTACCTGCAGGACACACACATGGTGGTCAATAACTTTAAACTTGTTTCTAATTATGTCAACAAGCTAATGCGTTTCTTTTGTTTATCTTCCCAGAGAATTACCCAAGACTCCAGTACTGAATTTGTAAACATTTTTAACGCATTTCTGCCCTAACAGGCAATTGCATTATAAGCCGTCAACACTAATTAATATGATTAATTTCATTTATGTGTCTAAAAAGTTGTTTCATCAACTAGTTAGCAGGTCAGCTACCTCTTCATGTCGCTCCTTTTTTAGCATGTTAGCTGAGATTGCACTCAGTTTTGTAGTTGTTTATTGTTTGTGTTTATGTAACAGCTTGATAACAGTTAGATCTCTTGCTGTTGTTGTAGTTTAGGTAATTAGCACGTAAGCTAAGTATCCATCTGGTTCCTGTTGTTTGGTTAGCATGCTAGCTGCCTCTGCATTCAATTCTTCTGGAGTTATTAACTAGTTAGCATAAAAGCTTCCTTTGTATCCAGTTCTTATGTGTGTATTACAATTGTTTTGCTGTTTACCATTAGCTACGTCTCCATGCTATTATTACATTGTGTATTACAGTTAATTATCTCATTGGCATGCTAGCTACCTCTCCACCCAGCTCTTGTAGTTGGGGATGTCTTTAGCGTAAAGCAGCTTGTTGGATGGAGAGTCTTTTCCGAGCCGGTGTTCGGACGTCGAGCAGGAGTCCATGAAGGTCTGAGCGACGACCGACAGACAGGCGTCCGTGATGCTGCTCTTATGGATGTCGAACACAAACTGAGGGTTCTTTATCACGTTCACCCAGAACCTGAGAGGAAGGCTACAGAAAAGATAACATTGTTTAAATCTTTTGGTGCTTTTGTCAACATCTTGCAGAAAATACTGAATGTACTCTTCCAACATCAGAGTACACATGATAACAAAGGTATCCCAACTGTAGCTGTGTACATGACAGGATGTATGATTACCTAGAAGAGCATCAGGACTGTTTTAGGCATATGATAGCTATGTGATTAACATGATGATTCAGCCTCTATGGAGATAGACATATGACAAGCATGATCATTTCTGACGTGGAGCTAATCTGAAGTAAACATTGAATACTGCTTTCTATTCCTCCATCTTGTGACTGTGTAACTCCCTCTCTTGTATATCAGCATGTGAAGGACACTGTTCAGGAACTAGTTGATGCTCTGTATGTGATGACTACTTCCATTCTGGAGAGGATCACAAATACATGGATCCTGAGATTGAAGCTTAAGCCGGTGACCACCAGTGATATTTTTTTAACAAAAACCTTTTCCTCTCACCAGTTGCTCTTCCAGGTGTGTCGGACGTCCGGGTCGGTGATCTGTCGTTTGTCCGCCTGCTCGTCCAGGAAGTCGAACATGTATTTGATAGCCAATGGGAGAGCAGATCCCCGGTGGGCGGTGCTGAACACCGTCTCAAACAGGTCGTCCACAAACTTCTGCAGTGTCCCCTGGTGGTGGGAGGACCAAAGCACCGGAGTTAATATTTAAACAGGCGCATTTCAATTGACTAAATATTCCAATTACTGAAATAATAACCCCTTAACAAAAAAGATAAAACATCCATGGTGGCAATTTCCATGAATTGTAATATCTTTAAAGGTCTTTTAATCTAGCATCATCTTGTTAACATTTTAACGTGAGCAATACTCTTGTTTTTGACCAAATACCTGCAGGACTAATAATCTGATACCTTGTGTTTACTACTTATTAGATATTGTTAGCATAATGGCTATACAGACGTTAGCAGTAGCTTGGTAACATCTATGTGAAAAATACGTGTGATAGTTTAACATCAGGAACTCAATTTCTTTTTGGTATTTTTCCATTATTTCTCTTCTTGCCTTTGTATGTTGATTAAGAACTGTATTTATAACCCTTTCAACAATGCTACAACAAAATGTATTTATGTTAAGATATAATACAAATCCAAGATATATAACAAAACAGTGCACGAGTAAAACATGTCAATACAATATAATTTATTTTAGAAATAATGAAATGAAATACTGCAGTACATGAAAACTGTGGCAGGCATATTACATCCATCGCACTGCTTCTTAAATGTCTTCCCTTTGTCTCTGTTTTTTATTGAGTTAACAGTCAACAGGAAATTAGGAATCAGAAACAGAGAGATATGTGAATTTGCTTCAACATCATGATTTATTGTTGTGTTGTATTACCTTGGTAGCCAGCAGTCTGGTCAGGTAGATCTCAGAAACCATCTTGCTGCCTCGGTCTCCTTCTCTCTGATCGCTGTGCTCGTGATTCTTCACCAGGTGCCACAGTTTAGTCCCTGAAAATAAACAAAATAAACATGGTACAATAAACTGTATAAAGTACGGCTCAATACTACTAATGGCACACACAGCCTCTTGCATGGTTACAGTGAGAATTGTGCGTTGTAACCGTGTCATTATATATAAAGTCTATTGTTGTAAGTAGCCAACAGTTAAGGTAAGGCTAAGGCGGAGATGCATGCCTAGGAAAAATGCCATGTCGCTTGTCAGATGCCAAAACACATTTGAAAATCTTTTCCATAGTTCTTAATAATGTTTTGTGATTTTTTTTCAAAGTTAAAGGTGGGGTAGGTAATTTTGGAGAAACCAGCTCGAGTGCGCTAGAATTTGAAAATACACAGCCGGAAAAAATCTGCCACTTTCTTACAGAGCCCCTCCTCCAATACACGAACATGACCAATGAGGGCACGAGATAAGATTGTGCACAGATGGAAGGCTGACAGGCAGGTAGGCCATCCAGTTATTTTAGCCGGGTCGGTTCAGATGATTGGTCGTGCTTTTTACAGTACTACGGCTTCCACAGATGATATTTTTTATGTATTTATTGTCAAAGCACTTAAGATATTCATTGCTATCGGGATGTTAAGAGCATTCCATGGAATATAACAAAAAGTGTTTCTGAAATAAATTACATACCCCACCTTTAAGTTTATTTAAAGGGCATCGACACAGGAATACTAAGTGGAGGGCATTGATTAGTTTTTGTACATTCGATCAAGTATGCACTCCTGCATGTAAATGGAAACAGTCAATTTCTTTAGCCAGCTTACTAGGAATATTGTCTTCTTCCTAAACTAAGAGTATACTATTCATTTAAACCCAGTCAATGTCACGCCCTTCACTAATACACCTTGCTGCTGCAGTACCTGTCTCCTGGTCCGGGGTGATCATCGGCGCTCTGGATCTCAGACTGTCAGGACTGCTGGATGTTCGAAGTAACGACTCTGCAGAAACAAAGAGATAAACTTATCCTTCAGTAATCCTCTCTCAGATACTGTGTGTATGTGTGTGTGTGTGTGTGTGTGAGAGTGTGTGTGTGTGTGCACGCTGTACCATATCTGCTCAGGGATCTGGTGAAGGTGAAGGAGTTGGCGATGTTGTACGCAGAAACCTGCTTCTGGACCAGCGCCACCAGGGAGCCGTCTGTAACCTACGGCAACACACAGCAACACATCAGTCAATCACAGTGTCAATCAGCTGACTAATTATCCATTCAGTCCGCTAACTCGGTCGATTGGTATCTCGCCCTGGATCTGGACGCTCTCTCCACATGTCAGCGCTGATAAAGAGCCAGGACTCACTCAGAGAGCTTCGTCTCCATTCAGCGGGGAAATATTCAGGTTTTAAAGCTTTTAATCTGCTCCTAAACCGCCATTTATATACAGGGTTTGACAATAATGCTGACTGAGTTAAAGCAGACATTCCTTATGGAGGAAATGTAAATCCTGAGACATAAGGACCAGGTTTCTACTGCACTTTAATCACTCGGGGAAGTTCTGTCGTACTATAAAAAAGTGGAAAATGATTATACATGAGTAACAAATGCGTCACTTCCAGGCAAAAAGTACGGCTCCGCCCACTTTTGGGGGAAAACAAAGCTGTCATTTGAATGGCGGTCAATACACATTCTGAAGTTTTTGCCAATCCGATCAGACATTTAAAAAAAACCTGGATTTTCTGATCTTCAAAGAGCCCGATTACGATGGCCAGACAGGCAAACAATTACATGAAATCATTGGAAATCCAAGATCGGGCTCGATATATGGTTAAATATAGCAGTAGGCGATCGATGTCCATAGATGAGAGTAACATCTACGTCACTTTACGGCCCCGCCCACTTTTGGGGGAAACAACGCTGTCATTTGAACGGTGATCGAGCCTGAAGCCACAGAGCTCTTCTGTTACTGTCCTTTCTTCTTAGAGGAAGTACAGAAACACTGAACTCTGGATTTGTTTTAATGTTTGAGGTGTAATAAACGACACAGCAGCTTTTTGGCGTGATAAAACTATTACTTTCCGCCTCGCTCATGAGAGTAACAGCCGGCGAGATTACAGCCTCTCCTACTGATTTTAATTTAACCATATATTATCGAGCCCGATTGTCGATTTCAAATGATTTAATGTAATTGTTCGCCTGACTGGCCATCGTAACCGGGCTCTTTGAAGATCCAAAAATCCACGGTTTTCTTAAATGTCTGATCGGATTGGCAAAAACTTCAGAATTTGTATTGACCGCCATTCAAATGACAGCGTCGTTTTCCCCCAAAAGTGGGCGGGGCCGTACATTTCGCCCGGAAGTGACGTGGGTGTTACTCTCATCTATAGTTATAATATCTATTCATATTTTCTTTTATTTAATAATTAATTAAGAAAATGTTCCCATTAAAATATATTTTTCAAAAATCTTTATTTTAGAAAACTATGAAATATTAAATGTTTTCAAATCAATGCATTCATAATTACAATATAGCACACACACACATATTTGTAATTATATAATTGTTGTTCATTTATTCTTTTTTCTTCTTACAAATGTTTTATGTATCTTTTAAGCCTTCATTTTTTTTGTTCATTTCTTTTATTTGTATTCTTTGTA